ATGAATATAAGCGGGTGCTCCAAAAGTAAGGAATAAATCTTTAAGACATTTAATGACAGATTGTGAAGATAAATCAGGACATGGATAGGCAAACGGAAATCTTGAATATTCGTCAATTATCGTGAGTATATATTTGTTACGAGAAATCGTGGGCAAAGGACCCTTAAAATCAATACTGAGACGTTGAAAAGGCTCTGTAGCTTTAATTAAATGACTATGTGCATTATTATATCGCGGCTTAATTTCTGCACATATAGGACATGACGCCGTAATAGATTTTACGTCATTAATCGAGTATGGTAAATTCTTTGTTCTAATCCAATGCCACATTCTTACCACACCTGGATGGCACAATAATTTATGTAAGTCATATAACTTGTTAGTACTAAGGCTAGCGCAAACTCTAGACAATGTATCGGCGGAAACGTTTTCTTTGCCCGGCCGATATACTATATCATACTTAAAGCAAGACAATTCTAGCCGCCATCTTTCAATTTTCTCATTTTTGATCTTGCTGTTATGTCTCTGATTTAACATAAAAGATACTGATCTTTGATCTGTCACTAGTAAAAAATGTCTGCCAACTAGAAAATGACGCCATTTTCGTAAAGACTCAACGATAGCATAGGCTTCTTTTTCAATAGAAGAATGCTTTTTCTCGGCGTCATTTAATGATCGTGAAAAAAATGCCACTGGCCTTTCATTTTGAGACAAGGTTCCAGCAATAGCGTATTCTGATGCATCGGTTTCTATCGTTAAGAGATCAGTTTCGTTTATACTTATCAATGCTGCCTTAGCGATATCTCTTTTAAGTTGTTGAAAACTGTCACTTAGCTCCGTATTGAGTGGTAATTTTGCTCGTACGAGTGGTTGAATTTTAGCTGAAAAGTTAGGCACCCATTTTGAGTAATGAGCAAACATTCCAAGTGCTCTCTTTAAGGAAGCAGTATTATTAGGTAAAGGTAAATCCATTAATGGCTTTAGACGACTTTTGTCTGGTGTAATTATGTTATTACTAATTGTATATCCTAATAGATTAATAGTTTCACTTGCAAAAGTACACTTATCTTTATTAAGAGTTAGATTATATTTAGCAACCGCTTCCATGAATTTTGATAAGTTCTCATCATGATCTTCTTTTGTTTTCCCACAAACTGTAACGTCATCTAAATAAGCATACGTCCCCTTTAGCTTCTCTTTTTGTATGACGTACTCTAAAGTTCGTTGAAAGGCTGCTACTCCATTAGTGACGCCAAACGGAATGCGAGTAAATTGATATAAGTTCCTGCAAGCTTCAAACGCTGTAAATGGTCGTTCTTTCTCTAATATTGGAACTTGGTGGTAAGCAGATTTTAAATCAATTTGACTAAAATAGTTATATCTTGACACTTTAGATATTATTGAATCAATTTTTGGTAAAGGAAAGGCATCTAATTCAGTATAACGATTTATGGTTCGGGAATAATCTACCACCATTCTCCTACGATGTGTAGTTCCACCCGTTACTAGAACTTGAGCTCTCCATGGTGATACGCTTGGTTCAATAACTCCATCTTTCAGCAATTTTTCAATTTCATCTTTAATAAAATTTTGGTCATTTTCAGAAAAAGTTTTCGATTTAATTGCAACAGGAATTAATTCGGACGAAAGGTTAGAGAATATAGTAGCTGGAGGTACTGAAGCCTGCATTACATTGCATATTTGAAGTGGTTCTCTGTCTCCATCAAATTTGAATTCTAAAGATCTGTGATGTTTTAAAATATCATGCCCAATAATAACATCTGCACATAGGTTATTTATTATAAGCAATGGATGGCGCGTGTAACTATGTTCATTCAATTTTATTGTAGCATGACAAAGTCCGTTAACGTATGACATCTGATTCAATGATGCGAATGATACTGCTTGGGTTACTCTTTTCATTTTAATATTCATAGATTTTACAAGCTCTGCGTTGATAAAACTACATGAACTTCCGGTATCAATAAGAGCATCAGCTCGGAGATCATTTATTGTGACTGGAATTGTTGCTTTTATCAGATTACCCGGAAATGCAGCCGAAATACATGCAGTGCCGTCATTTGTTTCTTCTATGTGACTATCCTGGTGTATTATTGCGTTCGAAAAACTTGTATTTTGCTTAGCAGAGCGACAAACATTAGCAAAGTGGCCTTTTCTGGAGCATAATTGACAATTGACATTATAAGCTGGACACTTTACTCGCTGGTGAATACTCTCCGATCCACAGAAAAAACACCGCCTTTTCCGTCGCGTAGCAATGGCTAAATTCTCATTCGACGATGTTGAATAAGGTATTTCACTGACAGCATTGATTTGAGTCTTTAAAACTGAGCTTTCGGTAATTGCATTATTATCTTTCTCAGCGGATTCAAGTGTTACGGCCTGCTTCACAGCATCATCTAATGATAGAGTTTTGTTCTCTAAAAGTCGTTGACGAATCTGTTTTGAACCTATCCCCGATATAAAGGCATCTCGTATATATTCTTGTCTATATTCTTCTGCTGTAACACTTTTGAAGGTACATTCATGAGCTAAATTTTTTAACATTTGTATATATTCAGCTATCGATTCACCTGTCAGTTGTTTTCTTGTGGAAAGTACATGACGAGAGAATATTTCGTTTTTAGGTTTTATATACGCATCATTCAATAATTTTATAGCATCTTCAAACGTAATACAATCTCTTATTATGGAAAATATTGTAGGTGCCAAATGATTAATTAGCAAACGTAATTTCAACTCAGTAGAAATATGAGGACCTTCTTCGTTTAAAAAGTTAGTAAACGTAGCTAACCAATGGTTCCATTTGAGATCGGCCATCACAGAATTCGGTTCAGATTCAAATCTTTCCGGTCGGAGATAGCGAGACATATTTGACATTTGTTTTGATATTTCTTCCGTAGAACTTTCAGGTTTCTCCTTCGACATTTTTATCAGCTTTCTTTATGTTGATTAAATTGATAGAAATAACCAATTTATCATTAGAATATTGGCTTTAATCAACATAAAAATATTAGTTACATTAGACATATACTGAATTCATATTGACAAAGTCAAATGAACAATAGACAACATATTAATACTACAGGACATAATTTAAAAGAAAACTATAGCATCAGCTATTGCCTTAGCAAATCTATGGCAATGTGGCAAAGTCCTAGTGCTAAACCAGAAAATAAAAAAGCAAATCAATCATATATTATTTTTTAATTATGAAATTAAATTAAATAATTTTGATAATGAACTGAGTTCTCATGAATACTACTCAGAGGAAAGACCTAATCTTTGACTAACAACTCGGGGAAAGTTTTAAATTTATTAGGCTAACTTATGTTTTTTGATTCTTATTTAATATGTACATGTTTTTTAAAAATTGAATAATCAAATTATTAAATAAAATAAAAAATGTGTAAATACGGCAATTTTACCCATCAAACACGGCAGTAAGAAAATATCTCTGGCAAAACTGTTCAATTCGTTCATCAATCGATTCTTCATTGGTCCAAATTGAATTTATGCAATTTTTTAGGCATGAACTTTGAAAAATCTAAAATTCTGGTATGGTTTAAATGATGTCGGTAAATACTCGATACTAAGTGTTATCGATACTTTGGGAGCTATCACAGGGAGCTATACTTTTATGATATCGATACCATGTCCCTTATTACTACATGAGTACTCGGTATCGATACAAATCGTGAATAAAATTAACATAAATTGAAATAGTTAGCTCTGCGGGGCTGGCATAGAGATTAAAATTTTCAAACCCAAGCCCAGGCCCGAGCCCAGATTTTAATTATTTATTTATTGCATACAATTTTTATATCTAGTAATGTAGGTCTTGGTGTTTGAAATAAAAGGAACATAATATTTTTTCGAGATTTTCGACTTATCGAGGTTCGACTTAACAAGGTTTTACTGTATTACCTACCAACTATGGTAAGCATTTCATTTCTTTTAGTTAGACGTTAAAAGAAAATAGAACAGATTACCACATTTACCTACCTATAAGTATATTATTATATATGTAATAAACCCCCGAAGAGTGGAAGTTTTTCGCCGTAGATTACTGACTGTCCTGTGTGATAAATATTTAACTCCAGTTGAAATATTTATAATATTGTTATGCAAAAAATATTTTAATATACCTCTACGCCTTTTCTATAACTTATTTATTATATTCCGATTTTTAATAAGACCATATTATTATAAAAACTAACCTAAGACCTTTTTAAATAAAAGGTATTCAAATAAGGCTGGTGAATAGACGAGTTCGGAGAAACCAAAACTTGTAGTCTGACACCTAATCTTTTCTTATAAGTAATTCTGCTTGTCGATAATTTATGATATTTAACGATCATTAAAAATATTCAGAAGATATTTTGAAAATGTTGCCAAATAATTAAAAAAAAAAAACTAATAAAACAGGTTATTAAAATAACAAAATAAAGACACAATATTATATGAAATATTGTCTGTGAAACATAATTGGTCACCATCGTACTAAAATATTTTAATAAAAACATAAGAAATTCAACCAAAGACTAGGCTCTGCAGGCTAAATCCTTATATGTTATATAGAATTTAAAAAAGTACGAGCAATACGGGCATGCCAAAATTCCGAAATCAATTGTCAAGTGCTGTCTTCATTCCGTTCGCGCCAGAACGAAGTGCTTTTTTGAGGTGTTAATGCATAGATTTCTTTATATTGTAGCATTTTGGTGGGAAAAATCTTAAATGTAAGTATGAATGATCCCTTTCTTTATCACTGTCATCGTATTATCAGAATTAGCTTAACATTTAAGGATTATTATCTGGTATACGACAATCAGGTGTTTATACAGTGTTGCCAACATAACTATAACACATTTTTATTTGATGTTCGTTCTTCCTTTTCCAATGGCGAGGCGAACGAGTGTTAAAAACGGGAACAGCGTTTGTTATCATGGATTGATTGATTATAATTAAACGTATCTATGTGCAAATTAACATTATTGTTATTGTACTTTTGCAATTTGTTATCATAGTTTAGAAAGTGTAGTGCGATTTGCATTTGCGCAAAGATTGTGTGTTTTTAAGTGATGTAAACTGAGATGTGTTCATTCAGTTTTTGGTGACGCTTGTAATGTTTTAAAAATGGTTACTTCCAATAAATTACCCGAGAAAAAGTTTGTGAAAATGACTGGACAAAGTAGCATAGCAGTAGTGCCGCAAAGAACGTTATTAGGCGAAGTGAACGAACAAATTACGTGCCCATTGTGTCGGGGTTATTACATCGACGCCACTACTATTGTGGAATGCTTACATTCATTTTGTAGAAGCTGTATCATAAAACATTTGCAAGTTAAGAGTTACTGTCCTGTATGTGAAATGATGATAAATTCAGCCAAACCTAATATAAAATTAGATAAGGCTCTCCAAGATATTGTGTATAAATTGGTACCAGGCTTATTTCAAAAGGAAATGGAAAGACGTCAACAATTTTATGCTTCTAGACCTGGACCAGCAGCATCGGCTACACCCGAGCAAAGGGGAGAGGACACAGAAAGGATAATTTTTAGTCCTGAAGATGTGATTTCATTTTCATTAGAGTATGCTGACATTACTGACTCAGATAGCATATCTAGTAAATCATCAGACAGTAATGAAACTCAACCTACTTCAGCATGTTCCAGAAGATATTTACAGTGTCCAGCGGTTGTAAATATAAGTCATTTAAAGAAATTTCTTAGTATGAAATTTGATATTGATAGCACCCAGTTTGCTATTGATATATTATATAAAAGAGTACCTTTGCCTGATTATTATACTCTAATGGATATTGCATACATATATAACTGGAAAAGAAATGAGCCAATGAGATTTTTCTATCAGATTAAAGACTATATTGCTATTAGAAATAGATTTTTTGACATTAATAGAAAGAGTTCAGATTTTAGAGACAGAAAGTCAAGTCCCACTTCAACAGAAGAAACTAATGTAGGTAGTCCAGCCCCAAATTTAAATGACCATGTTTCAGAAGGTTCATCAGGGGCGGAAAGCCCTATGCCTGATGAAAATTCTCAAAAACAAACTAGTGATACAACAAAAAATAATGAAAAATCTATTCAAAATAGAGATACAAAAGTTCAGGAAAAGATGGGAGTAAATTTAAATAAAGAAAATACTTCATTGCCTAAGAAGAGTGATGATGACGTAGAAAAGTCTCAATTTTTAAATTCATTTGAACTAACTGCCAAAAGTAGTAATTTGATGACTAAATCTTCACCTGCAAAACTCTCTAAAGTAGAAAATGACGCACCTGAGAGTACACTAAAAACAATTCATGCTTCAAAAATTGAAGATACTTTAAAAAGGAAACATCAATCACTTCCAAATACACCAGAGCTAAAAAAGTTGAAAATTGAACTAGAAAAAACTAAAATACCTATGTTGTCTAACATTGGATCTAGTTCTGTTCCAGAAGGATCAATTCAAAATATAAAAATTTTAGATTCTACAAAAGCAAAAGATATTGAAAGCTCTGCAAAAAAATCTCAAATTGCAGCAACCTCTGGATTACCCACTTCACCTTTGTCTCCCAAGGAAGTAAAACCTCAACCTCATCCAGTACCTGGTCAACAAGTTTCAGACAGCACTGGTCTCAAGCGCTCTATAGCAGGATCCCAAAACAGTACTTCATCACCTAAAAGAAAACTTTCAAATGAAGTACCACCATCAAATCAATCTACAGCTCAGAAAACAGTTTCCCCACTTAAATTACAAATACCCAAATTAGATACTCAATATGCATATTCTAAATCATCTGATGTACAAAAATTACCTTCTAAAAAACTTCCTGACTTAAAGCCAAGCATGTTACCATCCACACAAAATAAAGGTCAACCTGTCAATAAAGTGAGAATGGATCTGTTAGCAAATAACAGTGACCCTACTATTGATAGAAGTAAAATTTTGTCTCAAGTCAAATCATCCTTAATTGCTCAAAATAATGGACAAGGTTCAGGAGACCCACTAAAGTCAATATTTGATTCTTGCAATATCAATATACCCTCTTCATTATCAATTACTTTAACAGATCAGAAATTAGAACCCCGTAACCCTAATGAATCAGCCAGTACAGATCCTAAGAAAAGTGCATTGAATAATAAAAATATAGCAAACATTACTAATAGTTCTGCTCATAAAATTCCCAGTCCACCTGTTCACAATTACATAGAAATATTAAAACTGCCTGATACACCTGATTCTAAAATGGCAAATAAAACTGAAGTGAGTTCTGATACCAAGTCACATATTTCCAATAAATCTGACAGTAATACACCACAGGTAAAAAATATTAATAAGTCCGAAACCTCTGCCAAAGGTCCTATTCCAAATTTGAAACCGATTTCAGATACAAAACTATCAAAACAAGCTTCTACTGGTAATTTTACAGCTCCTATTACATTTCAACAAACATTTGAACAGCAGTTACAATCTTTACAAACAGAAAAGAAACCAAAACTCCCTAAGGCTAAAACACAAGTTCCTAAGCTTGTGCCAGCGCCTAAAGTTTTCAATGTTGGTAATAAATCTGCTACCGTTGGTAACAAACCTAACTCGAGCACTCCAACATCTGAAACTAAGCCTAGTTCTGCTCTAGATCTCTCTACACAACATAACATTCAAAATCAACAACAAACATTTGACAAGGCTTTGGAAACTATGCAATCAATAGCCAATTTGGCCAAAAAACAAAATTTGCCATCAAAAGGCATAACTTTGCCTATGTCACAAAGTAACACATTTTCAGGTTTAACTAATAGATCATTAAACTCAGGTGTGAGTCCAATTAGAGTACCTTCTGCAAATGTCAATCAAATTAAACCTGATAAAAGTAATATAGCTCATGCTCTTACAAATACTTCGAGACAAGATACTTCAAAAATCCACCCTAATAAATCGTCAAATCACTCTGCGTCAAATATACCATCTCCAAGCTATCAAATGCCGTCGCATAGTTCACCTAGTCCAGCTCAACCATCACCGAGATCTCAAACGCGCTCCCCCAGTTGCTCCCCTAAATTGGTTATTGCTGAAGACAAACAAACAAATTCATCTTTGGAACAGAATACAGGACAAACAAATTCAATGACAAATATGCAAAAATCAAATTTGAATTCTATAAATGATATTCAAAAGTCATCTCCTGGCCCATCAAAACCTGCTTTAAAACCAATAAAACCTTCAACTCCGTCAGCCGTTAAAGTAAGTAGTATAAGACCACCTATGGCACTTAACCCCTCATTAAATACTACTCCAGATTATCTTACAAGACCACAACTTATATCCACGCATCATCATTTATTAAGACAGATGGAAGTTAATGCTTGGCTTAAAGTTCAGAGACAGTTTGATCTTATTAAATCTATGTCTAATATGGCTCATCAACCACAAAATGATTTTAATGGTAATGATAACCAACAATAAGATAATTAAGTGATTTTAATGTAGATATCTATTTTATGTGTATAAATGAAATAAAATTTAACCTTGTTTTATATTTTGTGTAAGTGTAATCATGTATCATTTGTTTAAAGTTTAATGGTTTAAGGTATTTAATTTTCTCTACATATCAATATTTTTTACTTTTCTTATTGTTCTTATGTTTTAGCTAACACAATAAACTGTTTGATAAAATGAAATTAAGGAACAAAGTGGTTTAATTATGTATTGCAACAATTTACAACAGGTCAAGTTTAAATTTGATTCACCATACATGTATACATCGAAATTTTTGGCTTCAACTAAAAGTTTCCTTCTGTTTTTAAAGTGATTTTACGATTGTATATTAAAGCTTATTTTAATTTCATTTTTAATAAAATTATTTTGATTTCTGAGTTTTTATTAGTTAAATCTATGTGCAAGAAAACGAGTTTGTTCATCAATGTAATAATTTTGAAAAATTAGGTCAACCAAGCTATTTTTACCTAATACTTGTGATTATAATATGTATTCTGTAAGATTTATTATAAATGCTGATTATTTTAGAGTGTACATCATAGTTTCTATTATTGATATGGCGAATATCATCGAAACCAACATGTAATGTCCCATTATGATGCCACTAAAATCTAATTGTGTGCCAGAATGTTCATACAATAATTTTGAAAATACTGCTATAGTAAGATAAAACTGATATGGTTCACCGATGTATAACTGTCAATTTCCTCACTCCTTTCCATTATAAACCTAAAAATATTGAAGGTAGAGGTCAAAATCCATTGCAAAAATTTGATATATTGTAGCTGCGTAGAAAGTTAAATTTCGAAGTGTGGCAAATGTCCAATCAGATGAGCCCTGCGATTCTCCAAAAATCCACATACGATTTCGAATTCAGTCAGGTGTCTGAATTCACTACAAATAGCGTTTTCCGCTCAATCTGGGGTTGGTAATAACGTTCCATGGCATAACTGGAGTGAGTTTCGAAATGACATAGGAGTAGAATATCCTGAGACAAGTATATTCAATCAATTATGTTTTGTATTTTTATACAAAAAATGGAATCAATAGAATTTCTACACAAAAATGATGTGAATTAGGGCACGTGAGTGAATACGAATTAGCGTCTGGATTTTTACAGAATTGCACAGCAGACCAGAATTCAAGTGTCATGATCACATGACACTAGCTGAGTGTAAGATGAACATCTAATGCGTTTATTTTACACCTTATGCTTATTGAAACAAGACACATTATACAATTTAATCGTACGTTTGGTCATCGTCGTTATTGTAGATCAGCTATGCGCAAAGAAGATTCATCATGCGCCATATTAGTTGGAACTATATTCACGATTGAAATATATTCACGAACTTCACAATACAACTATTTGACATGTGCTAGCTATTACTATAGCGACGGTCTTTTGAAAGATATTGAATGAATACTACCGTTAATTTGAATTGACAAAAGCACGCTTTAGTTTTATTATATTTCTTGATCATTATTCAAATCAGCATTTGTTCTGAAAGCAATTGTATTTTATATGTTTTGAAGGGTTTGCGATATTTTGAATACAGAATTTTCCACTAAACCTCAATAGAGGTTGTTGAATTAAGTTCCGAATCTGGTATTTTTAAATGATGTAGGGGATTATAAGCCTACAATTTAAATGACTAATAGTCAGTTTCACAAACGTCAATTAACGTTTAATGATGACTTTTAGTACTTTAATGTTCTTAATTTGAAAATTTGGGTAATGGCATTAAAGTAATTTATAAATCCAGTACTTATTTGTTGTTACCTAGTTAAGTGAACTTGTTAAAAACCATTTTGTTTTTTAAATATTATGTTCTATCCTAATCAGTGCGTAGTACCTTTCCTCCGCAAGGAAGTATTTTGTGTGATACCTATATCGCGAACTTACGTAAACAACTCGAAACAAATTTCAGAAAATCTAATTTTAATCTGGTTTTTCTATAAAGTTGTTCTGTGGCCAAATTCACATGTAATCTAAGAATATTTGTTGACGATCTTTTGTTGACTTCTGTAGTTCCTTGCAAAATTAAAACTTATTCATCAGAACTGCTACCAGTAACAGAATTGTGTGCATTACCTACTGACAATGTTACATTTTCTAAATTAATTTTATTAATTAAGTGTGTGTTATTTAAAAATAAATGAATTGTGTAATTTAATTGTATTTTGATTAATTTTAGTATTTAAGTATAATGACAAAATATGAAAGAAAACCACTAGATATCCGAAACTTGGATATTTTAAATTATAGTCATAGAAAGTTATTTTAAATTAGGATAATACTGTCTGAGTTTTTTACCTTTAATAAATAGTTTTATTAAAGATAAAATAAAACATGTTTATAAACAATTTATCCGTTTTAGTTATTAAAATAAGTAGCAATAGGACTACAGATAAGGTAAGTTTTATGTAAACGTGATCACCAGTTAGCGCGTTTAGAATTTGTATGGAGCTTTACAGTTCTTAGTAGTTACCGCTAGGGGCGCTGTACCGGATTCCATACTGAAATCTTGACGTGCTCACGGTCGACGGTGAACGTAAACGTTAAAAAAGTTGCACTAGGTGGTCTGAGCGGATCCAAAAAAAATTTTATCCAAATCAGATACATAAGCAGTTTTGTTATTATGACTAATGGTACGGGGTCTGCAATATTACACCTTTATTCAAATTGTCATTAGTCGAGCGTCTCTACAGATACTTATTATTATATTAGAACATTCATTAGGGCTTTCATACGGAAGCTTAAACTCGTTATAAACCTTAAAGATTGATTATGTAATGAACACTCAATCATAATGTAAGTTCTTATTTTGAAAATTTGTATCGGTTGTGGTAGAAATAATGATTATTTGAAAGGACGTATGAATAACTCGGTGTGAGTGTTTGACGACGTGTTAAAATAAAAGATCGCATATTTTGCATTTCTGTATTTACAAACCTAATCGACTTTAGTCTATTGGATTTGTTTGCCCACCCACTTGGAAATATACGCTGTAAGTATGTAGAAGAACATGGTGAATACTGTAGTCTACTGTAGTAAACATGTCATATATTTTGTAAATATTTCTTTTCCAAGAATTCCATTGGTATATCGAGCATGACCTGATAAGTTTCTTGAGCCCAATTTCCTTATCATCAAAAGACGTTCTGAATGAGTGGTAGCTGAAATGTTAGAATATTGAACCTATATTATCTACCCACTGATTTTCTAGTTGTTGTAACCATGCTAAAACTAGCTAAAACCTATTGAGAATAATTTGTTTTCCAGATGTCGGTACTTCAAGCAACGATACCATTTAAATCTCGCAAGAAAGTGACGCCGATAATTAAAAAAAACAAATCTAATTGCGAGAATGACGAATTAATTGGCAATATTCAGAAGAGCCCTCGAAAGAGGCTTGCTGAAGTTCACGCAGATTTAAAAGGTAGGTACAATCAACAGCAGTTAGGTTATACAAAACTGTCACAATATTCCAGTTGATTTTAAACCAATGCGTGTGAAAATAGAGTTAAAACTTAATTGCGGAAATTTGACATATTGTGGTAATTCGACATGCAGCTGTGTTACCTAGCAAAGGTATGATGTATACGTATACTGATGAATACAGACTCATTGTCCACTAACGCGTAAATTGCTTTTTGGATTACAAGACAATTGCTTTTTTGATATTCAATATAAGCAAACTTTGAAAATTTTATTTAAATAAAATATCATCAGGCAGCAGCCTGGGCAGGCTTGGGCATCTACGATTTTTTACAACCGGGGCAAAAATTCCCTTTCGGACCCAAGGCTCCCCTGGAGGACACCCCTGGGGGTGCGTCATTGCGCCCTTCTAACACCCCCGCCCCCAGTTCGATCAACGGTCCGACATTTTGATGAAGCTTATTTTTTATCACTGACGCCCGGGGCAAATGTCCTTGTGTTCCCACTTGTCGCCCCCACCCCTAGATTCGGGCCTGAGCCTTGGATCGACCACTTGAACCGAGGTCCTGCTTGATTCGAAATAATTGTAAAAAGTTGCATATTAGTAAAATTCGCCCTCTCTAATCAAATTTACACTTAATTTCAGGTCTCCAGCCGATAGTAAAACTTGCTAAAATAGATCAAAATCTAATAAGTACATTAAAAGACGATAGCAGTTCTTTGAACCTTATTAAAAAAGACACTATTTCAGAATCGAGGTAAGGTGGAAGCGAGCATCTCAAAGGGAGGAGGGATCTTCCATCTATTCGCTTTATAAGCACAAATTTTCTTCTTCATCTTGTATAAGTTTGGTTTTATATTTCAGGGATTCTGGGAAGCCACTGTCATGTAGAGAAAAAGAAATAGATTATCTAGAAAACTTCCTCGATGAACAACTACGACGTAAAGAATCTGCATCGATATACATATCGGGTCAACCGGGTACTGGAAAAACGGCTAGTTTATCATACATATTGAAGTCGCCAAAGGTGAGGAGATTTGAAAAAAAAATGTATTGTATCTATGTAGACACAATAATTTTTTTTCGTCACTAGCCAATTGAACACGGGAAAATGTGTAAATCACTGCAGATTCAGGCAGCCCGCGTATCATGACAAACTCGAGAAAATGACATGTGGTAGACAGTGTTTCTCGAGTTTGTTATGCTACGCGTGCTGGATCAATGGCTTAACCAAATATATAACCTAAGGGCTTAACGTTCCTTGCGAAGTACGGGGAAGCTCAGGTTACTAATTTTTTGAAGCGTTGGATTGTAGATGGGGGTGAGAAGCATCAAGCACCCCCCAGGCTTCACGTAAAAAGACCTAAACAAATAATGTTTTAACAAACTTTATTTTATTTCTCAAGGAGTAGGTACAGATTCGCTCGCTAGGGTCCTTGTGACTTTTATTGGGGAGGATTTATAATTTTAAAAATAAAATACTTCAAGGTAATAATTTGTAAGCGAGCAGTAAAAACTAAAGAAATTAGAACACTCACCCGATTTCGGAGTTATGGAGCACAAACTTTAAAATATTTCAGATGAAGTATTGTTGCGTGTGAGTTCGTTTATATGCTATTTCACCATTATGAGCCTCGCTGCGCTCCCATGTCGGCCTACCTCTATACTATAATTGTTACCAGTGTACCTACAATTATTTTTCCTTAAATTAATTTGTATTAAAAAGTAAAAATTAAGTGCATAGGCTAAACATGCAAAAGAGAAACAGTTTATTTAGTAAACCGTTACAATATAAAGGCCTTCTAATTTGTGGGGTGTAGAGCTCGGCAACATATTGTAAGGCCGATAATAAAAAAAAAACTGCAATCATAAGCGCTTAATAGTCGCTAAAAATCGAGCCCCTATGACTAAATAAGGTGAAATGGTGGACTAGTGAGAATTAACCTATTTTCAGGTTGTAATACTTTATTTTACTGATATTTGGACATATGTACTACTTAAATATAACTGCTCTATTTTAATCGAGTGCTGGTATAACATCTATTTATGGTACTTTATTAAAGCATTGAAGCAAAAAGTGTTCAAAATCAAATGCTTAAATTTGTTCGATTGTAGTAACCGAAAAATTAAAGAGACTCACTGCCCCGAAGTCAAACCTGTTACATGCTTTTGTGGGAGTATGTATAATTTATATATGTGATAGTGTTGAGATAATTAATAACCTGGCGCACCAAAACGGCCTTTGAGATCAGTCTACCCAAGCGAAGGCGTAAAAATATCACAACGAATTTAACACAGCATCAAAATATCCATGAACTTCTATATATTTTTTTTTCTCTAATGTTTTATGTATCTCTGTATCGGTATCTAACATTTACGTAACTTTTTTCTTCCAGATTGTAAAGGAATATAAGCAAGTGTACATCAACTGTACCATGATGAAATCGGCGAAAGCTATTTATAACAGAATTTGTTGCGAGTTGGAATTAGAGACTTCAGGGACGACAGAAAAAGCTTGTCTTAGTGCAATTGAAAAACATTTGAAAAAGAATCATAAAATGATGTAAGTAGACAAAATGTTCTTTATGCTTTTAACTACTTCTGATTACTTGATACATAGTGGGAACTTGTATTTTTTCAAATTTTCTATAAGTGCAAAAAAATTGGGGCTCGATAGCGCAGTGGTTAGCGTGTTCGGTTCTACGATACGGCTGTTAAGCAACTTTCGCAAAGGCCGATCATAAGATGGGTGACCAAAAATTTATTATCTCGCTTGGTGGGTCATGGCCATTCTGCCTTTTCGATTCTGTCTATAGGGAATGCCTAAGCCTCAGCAATGGGGACTTTAATAGGCTGGTGATATATAAGAAAACTAATATAATCTTAAGATATCCCCCCACCACCTCATGGGCGTAAGAAGGGTTTCTTCCGTCTATGATTCTCGTGTGCATTACCTTAAGAAATAAAAATTTTATATTAGATTTTCAAACTCTGTTATGGATATTGAAACTATTGGTATTGCAACAACACTGTTCGAATTTGTAAATCCAAAAATTATGGACGTAATTCACAAGACCCGGTTTTGATCCATAAATAGCTTCTCCGTACTTCGGAAAGAAAATTAAGCCGTTGCTGCCGGCTACATTGAATGTTTTAACAACTCACCTCCCGTAATTAGCCCGCCTGGTGGTTAATGAAATCGCACACATTTTTTTTTATAATGGGCTCACTTTTGACATCTATCTAAATTGGTCTGGGTTATATGCACTCTTATGTTTCTATTCCAAGACGTCTGTGCCCTGTCAGTAGTGGAGATATATTAGGTTGCTGATAATGAGGGTTGTTTCTGCCATTTTCCATAGAAAGAGACATCGGAGGGTTTTAGTGGGTATACATCTGCACGTTGACTAGCTCTTCTGGAGGCACGTCCACAGGGGAGTAGGCCACATAATCCCATCGCCCTTGGTAGGGAAGGCGATAATTATCTTCGCAAAAAAACTACGTATCGTCATATTTTGGTCATAATTATCCATTCATCAGCTCTACTTTCCAGCGTGGATGGATCATTATCCATCAAATATGTAGTACCCGCTAAAACAAAATTGATCTTCAGAACAGAATAACTTTGTATTTAAGAAAAATCTTATAAACATCAATGGTAACCCTTATTAACCTTACCCTTAATACAGAAAAACGATTTATTTTATTGTCAAATAAAAATTCGGGTTTGCGGGTTTCTACGTAATTTTTTTTTTTACCAACGTCGCTATTTTGTTTTGTTACAGACTTTTAGTATTAGACGAGATCGATCAGTTAGATAGTAAGCGTCAATCGGTGTTATATACGATATTCGAATGGCCAGCTATACATGACTCTGGCATAGTGTTGATCGGTATAGCGAACGCGTTAGACTTGACTGAGCGCACGTTGCCGCGGCTTCAGGCGCGCTGCTCGCTGCGCCCGCGCACGTTACATTTCGCCCCATATACTAAAGAACAGATCATCAACATTTTCACCACGGTACTCGCCAAGGAAGATAGAAACAACGTGTTTTCACCGGTGGCTTTGCAAATGTTGGCAGGTAATGATAATATTATATAAAGAGGAGAGATTGGATTGTTTGTATGTTTGCATCGAATTGTAGCGTATGATTGCTTAGCTTTCCGCAGGTGATTTTTTTTAAAATCGGTCCAGTTGTTTTGGATTATTTGTACGCAAACGGACAATCAAATCTATCCTCTTTATTATATTAGCATAGACTAGATGGTTAGATTAAGCAGCTTTCGCAAAGACTGTTAATAGGACGTGTAACCAAAAGTTTAAAATTTCGAGATTCTTTGTTCTTTGGAATGCACGTTTAGCCATTGATTGCGATTGTATTACCTGCGGCCGTTAACACCAATAAGTCCGCATTGGGCCCGTGTGATGGGTAATGGTCTATTCTGTTTATGTGATAACTTATGGAACATTGATAAGATGATATTGATAAGGAATTACGAGCTGATCTGGCAGATGGTACCTTGTAAAATGTTTAGATAAGAAATTGTATCCTAATTTACATTTTTTTTTTTCTGTAAGGAATTCACTGGAAAGCAATAAACTTTTTTATCTGTTTATTAACACCACATTAAATATAATGTTATAATGCACGTTACTAGCCTTTTTCTCGCGACCTCGCACGCGTAAATTATAGACTATGCCTCATATGATGTTGCTACTCGTAAGTGAAAGAATTTTCAAAATCGGTTCAGTAGTTTCGGAGCAAACAAACAAATCATTTCTCTTTATGTTTTTGATACAGATGTATCACCTGTTTGGTCTTATTATTATTTTTTGTTTTAAAGCCAAAATCGCTGCAGTCTCAGGAGATATGAGGAGAGCCTTAGACATAGGCAGAAGGGTCATAGAAGTAGCGAGACGGAGTAAGTTTGACGAGAATCATTCAATCGATAGAATGATGAAGGACACCCAAGTGACTGTGGAGTTGAAGCAAGTCTTGGAAGTTCTGAACGACGTTTATGGCAGTTCGCGGAAGATCGAAACGGAAGTCGAGGAGGGATTCCCGATGCAACAGAAACTGATCCTTTGTAGCTTGATGTTGATGCTGACTAAAGGGAAGAATAGGGATATTGTTATGGGGAAACTTTATGATGTTTACAAAAGGTAAGCTTAATTTCGGATTTTTTTATTTTTGTTTTACTTAAGCAACATTGGAGTTATCCATAAGTTATGTCATGGGGCTGGGGAGGGGTACGTAGTGTTACATCAGAACGATAGTTCCTATCCTTTTCATTATTATAATATAATATATTAGGTAAATTGATTTACCCAGTATTTAAACTCTCCTTCTTCATTGTCTCAGTAAAAGATATCACGAGACACGCCCATGATACACATTATCGTTTTATTTTACTTAATTACGCCCTAAATTAGGTTCTAAATTGAGAAGGTTTTATTATTCTTTTTTGAGAAATATAAAACCTTTGAGAAGGTTTATAGAAGGTTTTAGGTCTTAATATATCACACGTTGAGAACGAAAGTGACACAATGCAAAAAATGCGATTTTGAGTAATGAGCATTTTAAGTTCAAGAAATTGTAATCCGCCCCTCTAAACAACGTATCGTCACTACGCCACCTAGCAGTTTCTATGCAAGCTACGTTCACAGGGATCTTTGCATTTTAAATTTTATACTCAACAAAGAAAAATGTTGTCAAAAGTAAAAAATACGTCGTTTTTGGTTAGTGACATTGTCATTCTCAACGTGCGATATAGGTTATTTTTTACCTTCACAAAATAGCCGGTATATAGAGTAACTCTAATGTGTATCTGCAAACCTGATTCTTTTGTCAAAACGATGCGCAGAATTATGTGTCAGATTGCCAGATCAATCTGGATATTTCCGGTCAATCCTAATTTGTCTGCTGGATCAGGATTTCAATACGCGATCTAGCCGTGGCTGTGACAATATTCAGGAAATACGACAAGTATTATATGAATAACTTAAATATTGGCAAAACGCTATCTTAAAACCCACGACGTTTAGCTTTAGTGTCATCCCAGAAATCTCTAATCAATCTTGCTAATCCTAGATAATTCGATCTATACTTATATGATATAAAATAAAATCGTTTCCCGCTGTCTGTATGCTGAGATCTTTTAAACTACACAACGGATTTGAATGTGGTTTTCATCAATATATATACAGAGTGATCCAAAAGGAAGGTTTATATTTATAATAGAGGACCACGCGGGCGAAAGCTAGTCTATATAAACTAGATTATAGAGGATATTTTAGCTAGATAACCTTTAGGGCTTTTTCCATAATAAAAAAATATATATAAATAATTAAATCGTAATCTAAACCTGTTTGTTATACTGATGTCACCCACATGCTTTTTCTCATTAATATTGGTCTATGCACACACGAAAATTGCAAGTCCTCTTGGTCCGCTTATCATTAGGATTATTTCTACTACTAAATTACAGTAAAATGCTCAATTGATGTATAGACAAAGTAAAATTGATAGATAATTTAGATTACTAGATTATCTATCAATTTGGATTGCAGCATAGCATCTTATAAGTGGGTTGCATGTGCATATTTAATGGGCCCTAATTGGCGATTCCCCGCTGTATAGGCTTTTTTTATTAAAATATTTCTTTTTGTTACAATCACAACAAATAAGACAGCTAGAATTGGGCCTCAAGATTCGAAAATTTTGTTAAATGAGTTCCATCAACTTTGAAAATCACTGATCCAGATGGTTCTATAAAACATTTTTGTTATAGGTTTGTCTGTAAGAATTAGTTACTACTGTTAATAGATTTGTTAAATAATATTTTTAATATAATTATGTTAAAATAATTACTATGAAACGTGACTATGAAGTTAGGTAATAGGTATTTCGCATCAATACCATTAATGTCGATACCGTGTTAAATGTTGATTATGAAAGAACTAATTGATATAAATACAAGGTATATATAATTATGTTCACCGTGATCAAATGGCAATGACACATATTTGAAAGGACGCAATAAATATTGGAAATAGTTACTACCATATAAGATCATGCATTTAATAAAAGCCTCATGTATTAACACAGTAAATTAAGTATAGTTTGATTAAATTAGATTATGGATGATAGGCGAGTATCCCTTGCATGCAATTTTCCACACTTTCATTTCTCGCTCAGAACTGTATATATCTAATCTAAAAAGAAAATAGTTTTCCATTGAATTCGCTAAGATATGCAATGACGTAACTTTATAATACGTTTTCCAAATCGCACACAGATTTTATAAATTTAATCGGGGTGACGACAAATTTTTGTTTATTTGTCGGTCCGGTAGAGTGTTAAAAAATATCAAACACGTAATTTTTTGATTTTTTTCGTAATCATAAAATTACGGCGTTACATGGAGTTGAAATTTAGCATGACGTCACGTTATGGTACGTTTTCTACTAAACTGTGACGTAGCGAGCCCCCACTCCTCAACTTTAACGCCTGTTATCTATTTCTTCTTAAATATACGTATGACTGACGGACTAAATAGAATTGCATTTTTTTACCTAGTCGTCATCCCTATTGAATTCGTAATTTACCAAAAAAGTCTTTATTTAGTCTTATTTCAATATCGTAGAGTTGCTGTAGCACGTAACATCGCAGCTCTGGACATGAGTGAGATGGTGGGCGCGTGCTCGCTCCTGGAGTCCAGCGGTGCGGTGCGAGTGGTGGGCGGGGGGGGCGCGCGGTCCCGTCGTCTGCGTCTGCAGTGGGACGAGTCAGAACTGGCGGCCGCGCTGCGGGACAAGCCGCTTTTGTCCACCATACTCGCAGATGTCAACTGTCTCGCACCGTAAACTACCGAGCAATTGAGTAATCTAATAGGTACTACTCACGCGAATCAACATGAAAGCTGAATAGGATAACCATATCTCAGGATTTTCGGACTCTTCTCGGGATTGCGGTCGGGGTTAAATCTCATGATTTTTAGAATTTTGATTGAAATTTTAAAGATTTATACTTACTTTAATAAAAAGTTATACAAACCAAAAATAATTCTCCTAACTTTGGTAGTATAACGGTGCATGGGAGGGGGTTTTACTGCAACCCCTGCCCTGAACCTGAACCCAGTGAGCGAGATCCCCCGAGCGTAACAAAAATAATTAGACTTTTTTTTTAAATTATTTTAGGATTTTTCAATGGAAATCAGGCCTTTTCTGCGGACTTTTTATTTTTCGTCTGGTAACCCTACACCTGAAGGCCTGTTATATTTGTCCTAAAACGAAATTTCGACTGTTTTGGAAATGCTAATATGACTCCAAAGAAACTCCTTTTTCGATAATTTTGATGCAATGGAGGAAGGACTGCCTCTGATGCACAGAAAATTTTCACGGATATGGTTTTAATAAACAAATTCCAAATTTTCTTTCGAGGGTAAATAGAATGGGTCTTCAGGTGTCATGTTCATTCGGTACGAGTTATTACACAGGACGGACCGCATGTCACCACAATGTAATCAACTTTAAATTTAATGGTTTAAAGTCTAAAATCTGTTTGGTGAGGCCTTTATAGTAACATGGTGTGCTGTTAATTTTATTAAATCATATTTATTTTAATAGTAGACAAGATTTGAACTGTTCAGTAATATCAAAAAGCATAGAATCGTGTAAGATTAAGGAGCGTCAAAGGAGGCTCATTGTTTTTAAAAGCTCCAGTGTTAAATACAAATTAAAATATGTTTAACTTTTTATATGTTCCTACTAGGTAGTCGACCATAGAGCTACAATTGAAAAGTATTCTAGAAGCCTAATTGGGCCTTCTTAGACACCACCTTATCATTTGTGTATATGTATGTGGTATTAAGTAATGTATTGTATAATGTTGTTTTTATATACTTTGTATTTTAAGATATATTTATCTATTTTCTATATACTATGTATTTATTAATATATATTTATGTATTTTTCTTGTAATGTCTATGCACGTTTTACTTATTTTTTTTTTCATTATTTTGTCTTTTATTGAAGTCAAATTGTGTTTTTCAAACTTAGTTATATTGTATTTTATTATTAATGGTAAGATCATCTTTCATATCAAAGTGAAAAGTCTATAGGTTTGTAAAGTGATATATGTAGGTTGAATTTTGGTAGTATTGATATTTAAAAATCTGTAGATATTTTTAAATAGTTGATAAGAAGAATCCACTTGACAATGTTTTTTTTTTGTTTTTATATGATGATATTCATATGAATGTAATAGCAAGTTAATATGTTCAGTTTTCAATACTTCATTACCAGTTTTGGTATTTTGTAAATATGCAGCTCTGTCCACCGCATTGGATAAAAATACAACGCTGTCGCAGCATTAGAGGTTTAATCGATTAAAACCTCTAATTCCTATTAAAGAAGGTTAAATTAAACCGCATTTTTAAGAGAAAAGCACTGCAGGTTCAATAATGTAAATGCCACGCCAAGTCGAGTAGCGACATATTTTTAAAAGTTGAATTTAAAAAAAAAACAAGCTTTCATCAGTTGATGTTTAAAAAATGTTTAAGAGTTAATATTTGATCTTGTTACCTATATTGTGTAAGTATTGGCTTGTGACTGGAAATAGTATTTGTTGACTAAACCGGAATTCTATCCGCTGATAGAAACTTTAAGGTTGTTTTAGGGAAGGGAAAAATGACGTAATCTTTATTTTTCAAAAAAAGATTTAAATATTTTGTTTCAAATATTGTTTTTTTTTTGAAATAATGTTTCATTGTATTTCGTCTTGGACCACAGATTTTGTATAGGCAAATCAAACAAGCCCAACTCGACGGGGTTTTTACGTTTATTCACATTACGGAGGTCCAAATAGAGACATTTTCCAGGGTAGCTCTAGCCTCGAGATAAAAGCGCCGCGAGAATTTTATCTTGGAGATAATTGGCGAAATTTTGGAGCAATCAAAGACCATTAATCTTAATTTAAAATCTGTCGCGATCCCATTCAAAGGTAAGTGCTAGTGATATAGAATAGAATAGAATAGAAAATTGTTTATTTAGCACCAAATTACAGGTATATAACATTGATAATAGAAAAATTCAAAATTAGGTACTAAAAAGGTCTCCGCTCAGCAATATGCCGCAGCGTTTAAGCTACGGCGCTGATTTTCAGCGCATACCTTAATTAAATAAATAAACAAAGTAAAAAAATAAAATAAAATATGATAAGGAGGAGCACGTATAGCACATATGGAATGTCGCAATCGCTTTTGGAATGAATGATGATTTGAATGATCAAGGAACATAATAAAAATTTACCTAAACACGTCGAAAGACTGATTTATACAACTGTTTCGTTTTAATAATTCTCAGTAGCTTTTTATTTTTTTCCTTATAACAATTGCCTTAGACAATTCCAATTAACGATATCGTTCATTCAATGTCCTTCAAAAAAGTCGCAATAGCAATCGTTATCTCTTATTCTTGAATATCTTAAACGTCAAATTGAAAGGAAATGCGATAGATTTTAAAATTAGATAAATAGCCCCTAGACTATTCTGGGTGTGCACGGCCTACGTAGTCGTCATCCTTCCTAAGCTAATGCCCATGGCTTCTGATGGCTCCATCTAAGTCTTCAATTAAGTTATTATGATCTAAGTTGTAGTAATGTAATCAAAAACCATGAAGTCTAATTAACTTGCAAAATTTGATCTAAACAAATAACTTATATGGCAAGTTAAATATTTTTATAAAGTCAAGAAGATCTTTTAATGGAAACTATAATATACGTATTTCGTTTTATATTTCTATTCTATTTATCGATACCTACTTACTTTACAAATGAAGTTTCCTGGAAATACATTTTGTAGTAATTACTTAGATTGTACATCTATAATAGGATAAGATATTCAAAAGCCAGTGTTAATAATATTCGAAAGCCATTTCTGATTTTTTACATAATCACGTCACTGTTTTTTTTATGAGTGATATTTCTATATATTTTAAAATAACTTTTGGTTTTTAACATGTTTATTGATCGATTATTAGCATATAAAGTGGGCTGGTTTTTACTCGTCGCCGTCGAGAATATGTTGTTGTTCGTTTAAATGACACGTGACATTGGTATAATGTAGAGAGGATATTTCTATAATATACCAAACAAGTTTCTCTCATATAAAGGTACATCATTATTAAATAATTCCTGTGTTAGTGCGATACCAGATCGAAAACAACATTTAGAAATTGATTCGCAACATCCGTTAACCTGATTTACACAACATTAATCTTTATCGCTATTAAAGGTAGATCACGACTCAAGATTGTCTTCGGGTCATCTGAGTTACGTTCAACTTATGTCTAAAACTACAATCAATCTTCATCTTACATCACACACGTGTAATTTAATCTAACAATGAAACGGCAGTTATAATTTAATGACACCGAACAATAGTTGTAAAACTCGTAAAATACAAGATAATGGTGGTAATTCTAATAGAAACGGAATGGGCCGGGCCACGTTAATTAGAAACCGTGGTGCGCCATTCACAAATTTTTATCTCATGTAAGAACATGGTCTTTTAATTCGATTAAGAATTAATCAAGTTCCGTGTCATAGTGTACCGTGCATAAATAAATTTTATTCACTTGCAGTTAAAACCTTTCACCCGCCTTATCTTATTGAAAAGAAGATATCGTTTTTTTGCTTTTGAAAATGTTGACAATCATTAAGTTGTTTCGTATTTTGACAGATATCGCAATATTACCTTTTTTTATGTTCGCATACCCACAAAAAGCAGGTGGAGGTCTATATGTTTTTTATTATATCCAAACAAACTTTAGTTACTTATGAATAGATTTTAACTTATTTTTATTTGACGGTCCTCCGATATGGTCTAATAGAAAAATTATAAAAATACGTTCAGCAGTTTTGTACTTTCGAAATAGAAATAGAGTACTTTGAATAAATGTGTAGGTATGTTATGAAGGTACCAGTATGTTATCCAAATAATCCGAAGCAATTCAAATGTGAATTTATTCAAAAAATTAGGCTGCGTCCAAGATAATTGTACATTTGTGGTTATTTTAAACTTTAATTCAGTTTAATAACGATCTTTTATGGAATCGTGTAGTACATAGTTTATAAATAAACTGACGAGCAATACTTCCGGGTCACATAACACAAAAGAGTGAACACGGTTCATTTAAATAAATTGTAATTTTTCTATTTTGCAAATAATTTTAAGCTTTTGTAAGTGACCCAGAACTTTTACTCGATAGTTTATTATTATTTAATTGAAATATTCAGTGAATACCTAAGTAATTGTTCTTAATTCTTTATGAACGTTGAGTTTTATGTCGAAGACTGATTATTAGATAATTTCTCATAAATTTGTTTTACTTGGTTACTATTAATGTTTTAATCTTAAAAACAATGTTGTTTATATTTGTGAATTTGCATTATTATAAATATTGTGTCTGCTCGGTTTTGTGTGTTTTATTTTGTGTACGAATAAAATAAATGAAACAAAATTGGTTTTATTAATTAATTTTTATCTAATACTTATAAGTTAATCCTACTTTGTGCAAAACAAGACTTTTTACAAAATAATCGCTTAATTCAGTGAAAAATACAAGGTGTCAAAGAGAAGATGACTGACCATATATTGCGATATTAACTTTTATACAATGCCAACACAATTTGTGATGGTATTTTAGACAAATAAATTATTCGTATGTACATCTCGCTAATAATAAATTCTCAGAGAAACCATTATAAATTAGCACCAAAGTAAGACACTGCAGGAAATGGGTAGTGTCGTTTAGTTAAATTAATAAATAACTTAAATAATGATATAGTCACGTAATTTTGTACAATGTCAGCCATTAAAACTAGAAGGCGAGAGTATTCGTTAAGGAGTTAGCGGAATCATAGGCGAAGGGCGGGATTGCGTGAACGCACGAAGTTTAGTAGCTCGTCGCTGTCCTCGCAAACGAATGGCTTCACGTGGTGGCATGCTACGTCGTGCCACTTGATGCCGTCGTTGTAGAAGTTGTTCAGGATAGACAAACAGGATTCGTCGTTGCCCTGCGTATCAAAATGAAATTAGCGTTTCCTAATTGTATATTTGCCTACACACAGGACTTCCTTTTTGTTCACAAACGAAACGTCTAAAATATAAATATGTTGAAATAACATCCGTGAACATTATCTGTACCTCAGATAAGTTCAAGCAGTGTCAGGTCCTACCTCCGTTGCATCCTAAATTATCGAAAAATGCGTTTCTTTGGTTTTGTGTTTGCGTTTAGAAAATAGACGTTCTCGTTATCAGAGAAACAGATTCAGTCAGTCACAGGGAAATCAGACAATCTACACCGACTTTGGTTCTTCATTTCTTTATATAAGAAATAGGAAGTTTCTGTTTTCATAAAATTGAGTGAAATTGCATGACGGAATCATGGAAAGTTCATCCTAAACAAAGCTAGGGCATGATTTTCTGTAGGTAGATATGTACTCAGTGCACGACTCCCTTCTTGAATGGCCAGTTGTGAAAGGCGTTTTCGATACTTCAATGAGCCACGGCATAGGTATTTCCACGAACAACTTTCAACTTTGTTTATGACGCAAACTTTTTGGTAAAACGAATTGAAAATGCGCCGTGACGTTTCACTTTCTTTGCCTACATAATCGCAGCGTAATAAAGAAATATCGTTAAACATAATTATGTACACTTTTTGAACAACGTCTTTTTAGAAATATTTCAAATATCAAATGTAAACCTAAAATTACTAAGTTTTCGATGTACATTTATGTGTTAGTTTTATGATGGATGTTCTTTTAAATACAACCTTTTTTTTAACTATTATTATATGTATGGAGTAGCTCGGTGGCGTAGTGGATAAGCACCGCGGTCCGCGATCGTTGTTGTTAAGCCACTTTCGCAACGGTGACCGACGGTCACGGGATGAGTGACCAAAAAATTATCTTGATCTCCTTCGTGATTCGGAAGGCACATTAAGCTGTTGGTCGAGGCTGCATTTGCAGTCGTTAATACCCTCCAATTCGCATCGGGCTAGCATGGAGCGTCATGACCCATCCTCCTTAACCATCCATAAAGAAGACCTGACCCGCTGCAGTGAGGACGTAAAAGGTATGATTATGATAATCTGTACAAGGCGGCATATATTTGACTAATGATTTAGGTTTAGCATTCTGACCTGTGCAGCTTCTCTGTTATCAGGTTGAGCCTGCCCGTATCCGCCTGTGTATGACCAGTCGCCTGTGTTGCGTTGTGTGGTAGGTCCAATCTTGGCACCGGATCCTGACCAGAACCAGCCGTTGACATTTGGGGGTTGTAAGTCGGGTCTGTCACAACCTGCGAAGTTGCACTTACGACCCGATGTCCAAATGTAACGGACATTCCCACGGGCGATTCTTTGCTTTATGAATTCGTTTTCCTGCAAGTGATAATATAGATTAATTTAATCTGTTAATTGTACAATGTCAAACTTTTCTGAGCGAATACTTAGTTGGTTGTTTTCGAAACAAATTTATTTTATCATTATTCCTAATTTCGGATCGAGATCGCAATATGTAATACCTAGGTACTGTTATAACGGCTGTCACCTCTGTATCCGTCGTAATAGAGCTAGGATCCAAATAGGTAATTGCCTAAATCTACTATAGATGATTTAGAAATAGATAATATATAATTAGGGTTCTATACCCAAAGGGTAAAGCGGGAATCCTATTACTAAGACTTCGTTGTCTGTCACCAGGATGAACCGATGAGCCGTGAAAGTTAAACATTTGAGATTTGTGGTGATGTATTTCTGTTGACGCTTTAACAACAAATACTGAACACCAAAATCAAATAAATATTTAAGGGGGCTGCCATAAAACAAACGTGATTTTTTTTATCGATTCCATTCGTGCGCGAGTTCCACTAGAACTTGACCGGTTTTTTAGTTAAGAACTAACCTTGTTTATTTTTTTTTTAATAAGGAACTTTGCTATGGTTTAAACTTATGTATATTTTACTCCATCTGTTTTAAATAGGTATCACAAAAACTAAGTTTATATATAAAACACTCATGCAATCAGATGAGTACAGTTTTAAGTTCAAAGACCTAAAAACTCGTTTTGCTATAGTTTGTCATGCCATTTGATGATACAATCTAATTCTCGTAATGTTTCTTTTCTTTAAATGACAACGATACTGCGTGTACCTTGTTCAATGCAATTATTAAAATAATGCATTATTAAATGTGAATGCCTTACATCGTGTTTGTCCCATGTGTTCGAAGCTTTGATTTGTACAAATAAAATCTACATAGCTTTTGGAAACTTGCCTATGTCTTGCCTACTCAATTGGTCTTAATGCAAGCATTTGTATATTTCTATAGTAAAACTAGGTTTCTAAATTAAAGAGTCTTACTCAGAGCCCCTCGTAACTATCAACATTGTCGCACTAGGAACTAGGTAGTTAATTCAAACTAAAAAATGGATGTTAGTTGTGTGCGTCCGGCACAAGAAGTGGGCAACACGGCTGCAGCAGGAATGTGTGTCATGTGCCACTTGTCCGGCCCCAACATGCCATCGTCATGAACGTGTCGCGTTCGGCCGTTGCACCCCTTTCACGCAACGTCTTCAACCAGGGTTGCCGCCTTTAGAGAAACGAAATTCGGGACATTCGAACGACAATTAGATGTAATCGGACTTTAAATATAGCAATAACATAGCAAACTTAAAAAGGTGACTTTAGGTTGAGAATTGCGCCGTGGCGGGACCTGCGTAGGAATTCCTAAAGAGCCAATAGAGCGATCGTCGGGTGTTATCTAAAATTGGAACAAAATAATTAGAAATCGGGACGTGAGACAGAATCATTGAAATCGGGGCTCTCCCGGATAATTCGGGACGGGCGGCAACCCTGTCTTTAACGCTCTACAAATCGGATCAATTTAAACGTAAAGCATAATGAATATGTATGCCAGTCATAATAGTTTAAACACAGCGACGCTTTTCGCATCAATCGACACGCGATACCGGATCTCAGAATAGGTAATCTGATTCTGTTAGAGTCGATAACGCTTAACCAAGAATATTGCAGAGTTCGTTGACGTCTCGCAACCGCGACAGGAAGCGTTTAGAGAAAATGTGTATATTCCGTTTATGTTGCCTCATTGCCTGTTTATTTAAATGTGGCGTGAACACAATAATACCATTTTTTACTACCATAGAGTATACAATCAAGTTACGTCTTTGTCACGTATGTTACGTGTATGTGCATGGATATGAGGCAGTTTAATTAAACAATAATAAAACGGTGATCCGGGTTGACATCATAAAAAAGTGTGAACTCCATGTTGTATCGTGTTGATTGTGTTAGAGTGGCGCAGCTGATTGTTAATATGAATATTCATATCTAGCTAGATCATAATGTTCGATTTCGATTTTTTTCGCATTATATTAGGGCAAAATAAAAATTAGAATAAATCTTGCCCTAAAGTGCCAAGTTCAGTAGCCTGCCTTAATATCAAAAATATTAACTTTTCAAGACCATGCGCTTAAACCTTTCACGAAAGTATTTTGTTTGGTAAGTGAGTAATATCACTGTTTTTCGGAAGAGAGTACAACAAAATATTTGAAATTAATATGCCTATATTACGAGACTAATATAGCGTTTTAATACAATAACTTATTAGCTTATGAAATCCAAAATTTGTTTCATGGTTGTCGTCCTTTATTGATAAGCTCCTGCATATCCGAAATGGATTAGTGGTGCAGCTATGTGTACCTCAAGGATCTCCATGGGGTCCTTCTTATTAACTTTATAACATTAATATTATATTACAGGTTCTATTTATCAACTAAAAGTTGTCTAGACCCATATAAAAATAAAATTAAAGGTAAGGTAAAATATCAATTATAAAATTATTTTCTTAAATTCAACGATAAATAGGATTTCTTAGAAACTAGTTGATTCATTAGAACCTACAGGTTAGTTCATTAAAATTATTATTTTGAAACATAAAGTGTTGACACTCGTTTGACCTAAGAATGAATATTACCAGTCGCCTGTATATTACATGGTTGCAAAATAGCGTAATAAGATTTTGCAATAATGCAACCGTGCTAATTTGGAAAGTAAGTGCATCACGAATGACCCTGGATCGTGTTCGTGATCTACCTATCTATCTGAGATTGGAGTATCCCGATAAATAAAAATTATCGCTAAAACATGATTAATGATTATTCGGAGGCCATCACGTTTTGTAATATTTATAATAATTTAGCCAAACGATGCAAGAGATTTTAAAGCTTTTTTAACATCTCTTGTAAAATTTATTATTTTGTGAGAGTTCTGGCACACGTACAGGAAATATATTTAGGATCTGCATTGCTACTCGTATCTGTTAAAATACAGGTTCAAATATAGCGCGTCATATTATTAGTTTGAATCTACCGACACAAAAACCGACTTTAAAAATGAATAAAGATTTTATTTAATTGAACCTCTAATTCTGTGACAGCGTAGCTAACGCCGTATCACACTTATCAATGACGCGGGGCTCCCGTGCTAGAGGAGTTCCACAATTAATTTTGATACCGGGCCCCTTCAAGGTACAATTACGCAGCGACGTATTCCACGCTGTATTACAGAATATCAAAGCTGTAGTCTATTTGATAACATATTGCATACCTGTGGCGTCTCAAGTGAGACGGCGTCCATGCAGTGACGACGGCATATATTCCTGGCATCGAGCCAATCCACCTCCAAGTTACGTGTTGGCGCATGTTCCCAGCTGAAGAAGTATGAGTGGAGAACGCCTCGCGCGTCACGGTACGTCGAATGCCGGACCCCTGGGAAGGATCACAATAAAGACTAGTAAACATTTTTTTTTATTTTATACTCGTAAATAACCACTGTGCCCACGATTTCGTCCGCGTGGAATAATGACTTTCGACAGCATCTTTAATTGTTAGGGTCGCCCAAAGTGTAAAACAACAACTACTAAGACTGCGCTGTCTGTCACCAGGCTGTCTTATGAACCATGATAGTTGAGATTTTCACAGATGATGTAGTTTAGTTGCCGCTATAACAATAAATAGAATAAAAAAATATTTAAGGGAACTCCCATACAACAAACGTGATTTTTTTGTTCGTTTTCGGTACGTAAACCTTCGTGCACGAGTTTACTTGCACTTGGCCGGTATTTTAAGCAATTATTTTGTAAATAAAACACATGAATTCATTAAAAAAATCTATTTATAGTATTTCACGTTATTTGAGCATAAAAAATAAATCAATGTTCAACTAATTGAGTAGATCCAAATAATCAAAACCTTACAATTATTATACTTGTGAACGTAAGAACGTAAAGAAAAATATCAAAATTAGTTTGGAAAGCGAAAAAGTGAAACATAGGTGCTCTAACCAACTTGGTGTTCTTTATATTTCGTTTTTGACAGGAGGAGGTTCTATGTTCCACGGAAATGAATCTTTTTATCACAGTGTTTTTCCTATGTACATCAATTTCTCCGCGAAAACCGTTTTTTCAACTGCCGATGTCAACAATATTATGTATGTACTAGCTTTTGCCCGCGATTTTGTCTGCGGGGTATATTTATTTTGAGCAGCATTTCTAAAACGAATATTTATTCATTATATCGTAAAATACCTGAAATAAATATCATAATTTTATCTTTGACAATGACGAACTTCCGTACAAAATTTGATTTCTTATTTCAACCCGTTTCTATACTAATATTATAAATTTTTATTTCATTGTTTGTAGCAGAAAGCTAGTATCACAATAAAAAGCAACCTATGTCCTATCTCAAGATAACTCTTTATTGGGTTAAGCGTGAGAGCGTAACTGACATATACACAGATCTACTTTGCCATGTATAATATTATTATGGAATAATTAAATGGTTCTCCTTGTCGTCAATTACATCATATAACAAGAGATTACCAGACAGTTACCGAAATAAATAGACTTAAAACAATATAAATCACGATTGTTTGGTCGACTTTTAAACTCACAGCTTTTTAAATTGAAATTCCAAATTTAAATTATAAATATATAATGAATATGTCGTAGACAATTAGCTTAAAGATTCGTCCAATTAGGTGGATAGCCATATAACAGTGCCATTCATTTGCACAGCTAAACGTCGATCTGCTGAGTAACCATCACAACGTCCTTCTACAACGCGGCTGTACAAAAGCCAGGGAACTGGTCAACTGATAAAGATCACGATACCATTGAAGGGTCATTAGACTTAATAAAAGACGGACTGTATATTATAGGTGCTGTTGTAATTTAAGTAAATCGCGACGTTATTCGTTCGTGTGGTTGTCTCACAGCCAAGAAGTCAAGGAGCCAAGTAGGGCTGCGGTGACGTCGAATGTCGTTCGTAAGGCGTCGGCCAGCGCCGGCGTCGCCGTCGTGTCCGGTGGAGTGGGAAAACGAGCGCGCATCCGGCGCGCCAACACCATACACAATTATTATTTTTAAAATTTTATTGATTGTAAAACATACGTGATATTCGAATAAAATTACTTTTATATTCAACTTTGAAGACACTACAACAAAAAGCTATACGTAAGTATTTGTTTATTTAAGGTACAGCAACAGCGATACAAGTAATTAACTAATGTCCAATATGTTCCAGTACTTCGTTTCTAAAAACTTGAAACAAATGGAACGAAAAACTCAAATCTAATGTCCATAAAAAACTTAATCAAAAACTGAAATCTACGCAAAATATTTTGAACAAAACGATTACGCAATTTAGTTAAGAATAAACGCCATCTAGTATCACCATCAGACCTTTTACGTCCCCATTTCAAGGGCCCAGGCCTTTCTTATGGATTGGCTAAGGAGGATGGGCCATGATCCTCCACGCTAGCCCAATGCGGAGATGGAAAGCATTAACGACTGCAAATGCAGCCGGGACCAACTGCATAACGTGTCTTACGAATCACGGAGTAGTTCGAAATAGTAATTTTTTGATCACCCATCCGTGACCAATCCTTGTCAAAATGCTTAACAACGAGCTACTTATCAGTTTAGCAAAGCTTAAAGTTCTTACTAAATTTTATCGTATTTGAAAATTCAACCTTGACCAAAACAGTGTATAAACGCTATCTATACAGTTTGTATTTTCTTTCGTATATAAAATAATTTTTACTTAAATATTTTCAAAAATACTTCTTTAAAATGTTATTTTTTTTTTTATCAATTATGTACTTAAACATTATTTTTATCACAATATAAGAAATCTTGATAAATAACATTAGATAGATTTATTAAAATGACAAAACAAAACAAAAAAACTATGGTTGCTATGGTAATATTTTGATTTCCCTTAAAAACTTTCGCTTCAATTTTCAACCCCTTAAGTGCTAGTGTTCCGAATAAAATATAATCTATTACCTTCCTAGGAAATTGGTATTTGGGTAGTTTAAGAGCCTAGGTTCTTAGTACCCGAATACCAATTTTCTTAGACATAGATCCAAGAAAAGAAGTTTCATGCAAACGTTTTCACCCTTTTTGACCTCCTTTTTTTCAAAAATCCGTTCTTAGTACACCTCTACGTATTAAGGGGAATGTTCCCTCCGAACTTCACGTTTCTACGACCAGCTGTTTAAGCTGTGCGTTGTCTGTCAGTCAGTAAGTCAGGACATTTTCTTTTATATATGTATAGATAGATTATGATATCTCTGATAAAGTATTGAAAAAATTATCAAATTTTGATACAATATCACGAATTATTCATTTATCTTATGCTTGTAGAGACTATTAGTACATTACATTCTTTACACTAGATGTAAATAAAGAATAGCAAAGTCTAAACAAAAGGCGTCCAACTATGTATTGAAAATAAACATTGAAACGTAAATTGTGCAGTGTTCTGACGAAATACCTAGGTAGCAAACGTTTCGAAATAATGTTAAACTAAATGTGTCGTCGTTCTCGCCTTTGCACAACTAACAACGGATTTTCTCACATGTTTTTGAAATTCTAATAGGACTGAGAAAATAAATTGCGCAAACCTTTGTTTCATAAATAACAATATTATATTTAATATCTTTGAATATTTAACTAACAATAAGTAACGCATGCTTTTACATCTTCAATATAATATGCGACTGTATTAAAAACTATTTTAATACAGTTCCATGCAAACAAAAACAAATATTTTCAATAATTAGTTTGTCTTGTCGTCGTAGTAGGTACCGAATGTTACACACATTAGACTCGTAAATTATTCAATCAATAGCCAGTCCGATAATGGTTCAGTAACGACTTAATAAAGCTCTCGCTTTAAGACGAGGTGTTATACGGCCCGTGAAATCGTATGCAATCAAAGCAAACCAGTCATCAGGTCATTCGATGAAGCGTCAATTTCGTAACTAGAAAGTGTCCATTTTGAACCTCTCTCTAACTGATCTCCTCACATACGATTACATAGTAATTCTCGTACGCCTGCCAAAAAAATATTACGTGTCGTGGAATGTAACGTATGAATACCGGAAGCAATTGATAAATTGTACCGCAAAATATTTTTAACGTCGTAACATAAAATGCGATATGAAAACATATTTATATTTGAATCGAGAGTGCAATCTTATAATAATTACGTGATAGGTTTGTTTGTGTTCATGTACCTACTCTTAAAGAAAGTAAATAGGCGGGTTCGTGAGGCGCACCGTAACTTATAACATCTCGATTCTTGACACTAAGGAGAAAGTTGTAACCGAAGAATATTATTCTCCTGTTTTAACTTTTTATTGAGTTCACTTTCTTGTTCATTTAAATGAAAGAGTATTTAAATGTATGTAGTATAAAATTTGTTCCATTCTGATATTTTTTACATATTTAAACTGTTACATGTATTAACTTGTAAGAAATGCTGTAAATAGATGTTGTGTACGCTAACATTATTTTGAAGGCTGGATATATTTTGCAATAGACATAAAAGATCTTTGTTTGCATTGTGTGGTCTGAGAGCGTTGTCAGGTTGAATGTGTATCGATCGCTATTGTGGCTCTGTGTCATCGTGCACGCACCCACATTATTGTTACCTGTGTCGTAGCGGCGCAATGCCTCGCCCTTTATGCGGGCGAAATATTATGAAAGCTTAGCTATTTCCCACAGACGCAACTGTATTCGTTTAGATTTTAACCAATAGCCACCTATGATCAACAATAATAAATCATCAAGAAGGTTGAGTAACTAACCAAAGTGCTACAATAAACATGCAAAATCTTACTTATGTTATGCATCTAATAATATAGCTTATACATATAACAACCACTTTCTTATTAATTTATGTAAGACATAATTTTAATCTTATAAAGATTGTGTTTATCAAAACCTACATAATGCACAAATAAACATCATTTAAACTACAAATAATGCACATCATTTTGTATTAGTGAATGCAGTACCAAGTAGGAATAAGTAAACAATAAGGTAAAATAAAGAACATTGTAATTAACTATTATTTCCATTTAAAAGCAGTGGAAAAAATACTAGTATCGGATGCGGCCTCTGCTCACACAGGATGGGACATTCTTATTGATAAAAAATGCCATCAATGTCACATTTTTTGCTACATCAATCTCAACTATTAGGTCAAAGCCTACTGCACTTAGAAACTCGTATCGTACCATTTAAGAATGATATACGGCTGTAATATTAAGCGAGGGGCTTTTGTGGGTCTGGTTTCGAAAAGTTATAAGCATGTGGAATTTTTAGATGTCCATAGCCGAGTGGTTAGGACGCCGGGTGACACTATCTCTGAGGTCGCGGGTGCGATTCCCGGTCATGTCAATGTATAAAATAGGCTTTTCTTTATTGACTTTGTTGTCTGAGATACTTTATAATACGGGGGTTATTATCTTTAAATCTGAGCAACGTTATGTTATTTTGTCTAATATTTATTTATTCATTTCTATTAGTTCTCTAGATACGTACTGTTTGCGCAACTTCTTGGGTCAGGCAGGGCGAGACGACGCTGGGCTTCTGCTAGGCATAACATGGCCATTAAAGCGGCCGCTGCCAGAAAAACGTGCCGGCTCATCTGTGGAGATAATATTATTGCGTTACTAAAATAATATAATGTATAAGCAAATGTGACGAATATAGGTATGTCGGTACTAAGTCTGATAGTAAATTCAGTGCAAATTCCGAAGCTTATAGAGAATAGGCAGTTGTTCGAAAATTAAACACTGAATATGCCATTTCTATTAAAACACTGAATTATTATCTCAAAGTGTTTTGATGTTTTTTTGTGGAATTGATCCTCAATCAAAAAAGAAAATACTTAAATAGCCAAGAGATTAAAGTTCAAGAATTGAAAACGTGAAAAAGAACATTACAACCTTTTTTATTCTTTACTTTTGTTTGTTTTTTTTATACACATGGATTATAAAATCCTTCTCATAAACGTTATAGACTTAAAACAAAATATATTGGGTCGGTGCATCATCCGTCAGATTTGCACTGACCTTAATTTGACTGTAGTTAGAGTAAATTCATCAAGTGTAGTTTCAGTGTTTTATTTTGGAACCTGAAGTATTATAACGAGCAATTGAAGTATTGTATATATGTCATCCATTGAAATGATAATAAATTAGGTAGGTGCGTTTCTACGTCACTCTAAAAAAAATCGTGCTTCTTAACATTATTTTTTATTTTGTGAACCACGACCATGGAAATTACGAAATGATTTTCTGATATTCAAAATTCTAGAAACTTATTCAATTTATTTACTTTTTTGAAATCTTCGTTCTAGACTGTTTTATTTTGTTATATTTAAAGAGTTTTCAATACTACTGAATAGTTAAAACTACGAATGTTTTTAAGGCTTAAATAAATAAATATTGTATAAATTTGGAGAGGTTATTTTTTAATGAAATCTTCTGACCTTTTGATGAACAGTCGTAAATTCACCGACAAAAATGCTTTGCTTAGTTGCATTTAGATTTGTAACGTTTAGTAATCTAATTAATATAATTTCTTATACTTTTTGTTCGTTAAATTACCTCGTTCCAATGTGTGTAGTAGGTATTGAAATCTTTATATGAAATGTCGTATATGATAAATAAATAAACAATTTCATCCTCAACTCAATGAAATTCAATATAGTCTCTACATTAATTATGCCTGTGTACGTGATTTTTATATTATGTGGGGAAATTACAAAACTATTTAAAAGTACAACAAAATGTTCTAGAGGGTCTCAAGTGATAACAAATTAATGTTTCAGACTACTGTATATGTTCTTCATACAAACAAATTATCAGAGTAAAGACAAAAAGAGTCTCTATTCAAGCACTATAAAAATAATATACTTGAGCTTGAGTTGTGGACAAAAGAAAACATTTTTAATATAAAGGGTTTCTGTTATTGAATAACTCGATCGGCTTTTGAAATTAGGAAGAAACATTTTACTCTACGATCACAACATTTTACGATACGCTCTAGCACCCCAAATTATATTTGCGCAGGCACACCTGTCACACGGCTGCGACGAAAGTGGTTACGGGTTACCCGACAAGTCCGTATTATGACTTCGCTTTCTTTTATTTATGCAGACTTCGACTGTCCGAGGACAATCAATACGTGAGATGAATTTATTTTGTTGTATTTGTGAAAGCAAAACACGCGTCGCTGACCTCCTTGCTTCAAGTTTAAAGATAAGTGTTTGCATGAAAAACTGTGTAAGTAATGTGTAACAAATGTATTTAGGACGTTATTATGTTAAAAAAGTATCGATAGTCGCATGTTTAAATCATCATGCAGATAACAATTATTGATGTAATTTAAAATAGGATTCCGAAATTGACTACAATTGTTGTCCTAATTCTACTTTATAATACAACTGAAAAGGGAAATAAATTAAATCAGAATATTTTGTAAAATAAGTAAAAAAATAATTATGTATAAATCATAATAATATATCGATGTAAAAGAATCCTAATTTGCACATCAAAAGAATAATAGACGCATTTAGTGATAAAATTGCCGTCAATAGTTTAAAACCGCATTTTTTATATAAATTATCACAATTCAATGAGGATTTATTAAAAAAATATGGATTCGGTTCTAATTTTATCATTTAAATTACACCAGCCCTAAATATCCGAGCTTAATTTCACCTAAATTAACATCACACACAAATAATAATATTCCATTAAAACTTGTGAAGTTCACTGGGTAATGTATGAACGAGGTTCATTGTAAGTACCTCTGCGAATTTATGTGGTGGTGTCGGTGATGCGTTTGCGACGTTCGGTGCGGCGGCAGTGAGCGCGTGCGGACGCGAGCGAGGAACGCGGCGGTGTCGGAGGGACTGGCGCAGCCGGAGACCTCCTCTCTAATTAAGCCTCTGGCATTCATTCACTTTCACTTCCAATATGTACGAGAGAGGATCTCACTACGTTGAGCCTCTTCACAACACAGGACCCAGAGACCTTCTGGGGGTCGTAGCCGAATCATTCCTTTATTAAACACGTTACTTATCAATATTTTGGAAGGCGTAGAGTTGTTTAGAGTAGTGAAGCATAAATATTTACGTTTATATTTGCGTAAGCTCTAAATTTAAAACTTTTACATTTGGATGATATATTAACGTATTCTATAGAATTCCATAATTTAGAATATGCACCTACTTAATTCTTTCGAAATTAGAATTGCTAATTTGTTTGATAGCATATTATGTGGTATACCTGTCTAATAAGACCATAAAAAATATTTATTAAATACTTGTAGAAACAAGCAATACAAATATAATATAATAAATAATCCTTGTCTTAGTGACAATAATCATTCTCTTATATAGGTGTCTATATTTTTATAAATATCTTTACGCTGGATTTATGGCGCAGAGTTTTTCCGTTTTTAAAAAAATAACCATAAAGTAATCAATACATTTCATGCGTTTAAACACTTATTATTAAAAAAATTTTTTTTTATAAGCTTTTGTATATTTTCGTTACTATTTTATCATATATATATTCGTGAAAAGTTTTAAGTGACAAATGATAGCACATAAATACTATGCCATGAGAAAAGTTTGGATATAAAAGCTCTTATGAAGTACACAGTGTAGGTACCGAATCTCGTGACATGCATGTCAAATAATGTTCGTTTAGGAATTTAGTCTGTTGTCTGCATAGGGCATCTAAACCCTGCACTTTGTCGACTTGCTTGGCATGACAAGCAGCCGGTACATGGTATGCTTTTTTATTCTCTCAAAAATTTTGTGAATATGTTAATCAACTTCAAAACAAAAAGGAAGTTTTCAATTTATCTGTTTTTATGTATGTCCATAACATCATGGTTCATGGTTATTTGATAGAGAATTCTATCTGATGAATGAATGAAATTCAGCAGTTTAGTGAACCGAATTAAATAATACTAATTAAAAAAAAAAATCAAACTTAAGTTGGTTAAAAGTATGGTAAATTCTCGGCAGAATTCAAACAAAAGTTTCCTAAATTTTTAACCTTGTGATTACCAAAAGTTATTTGAGAGACATTTTTAAAGATGGTTTTTTCAAAAAGAAAATGATTAGATATATCATTGGTTGACTTTATTCCCTATACGGCATTATAATACTTGATGATCGTTGAAAAAACACAGGATTAATTTAATATCAACTGCTAGCTAAGAAGCTGGATAGTGCAATGTATAGAGTGCTCGGTCTGCGATTTTTGTTAAGCAACTTTTGCAAAGGCCACTCATACGATGGGTGATCAGAAATTTATCATCACGACCTTTCCGTGCTTCGAAAGGCACGTTATGCCGTTGGTTCTGGCTGCATCTGCTGTTGTTAATACCCACCAATCTGTACTGGGTGGGTCATGGCCGATTCTCCTTAATCGAATTGATCCAATTCCATCCACAGCTACCAGCTTTCCACTAGCGGCTTCATCTGCGTAGTTTTCCCGTTTTTGAAACATTTTTCATTGCTGCTTAACTCCTGTTAGTCTTAGCGTGATTTTATATAGGTCCTTTCTCCATAAATGGACTATTCAACACTCTAAAATCTCAATAATCTTTTCATTCGATCAAGTTCTTCCTGTGTTTAGTCAGTTCAACCAAACAAACAAAATCTTCAGCTTTATTATTAGTATAGACTAGTTATCGCGGGAAAGCGATTTAAACTAGATATATTCTCTGCCATCCCTTAGTGAAAGAATTTTCATGATCAGGTCAGTATTTCTAAAGATTGCCCCTACAAACAAATTTGGAAACTTTACCTCTTGCCCAAAGAATTGGTCTGGCTATTCAAAGAGGAAATACTCGCAACTTTCTGGGCACCTTACCTATTGGGAATGCCCAAATCATATATTTTATTCTAGTTTAGTTTTAGACATACCTCCCAGCCAACACATAAGCCAGATAGTAGCGAAAATATACCACAATAAGCAGTGTCAAGCTTTAATACTTTTGTATTACAGCTGACGTTATGGCCTTATTTTGAATAAGAGAATTCTAAAATTAAAATAATGTTGTAAGCTTACTAAATTCTGTATAAAGTTTGCGGTATTTTTTCAAGCTGAATAGTAAGGAAAAGTAGAATCTGTTAAACAAGCGATATTCAAATAAAAGTAATTGAAACAGCTATTATCTGCACAGTAGCTGAAGTTTTTGCATTGTCCTGTATAGCATATTTAAGCAAAGCAGTTAAACAGCAAAACGCTGAATATTAGACGAAATATTATCTTTAAGCTGCATAGTGTACGAAATGGTACTAATTTTTTCAGATGCTGAATATTTTAGAATTTTTCTTCTTTACACAGCTGACTTCTGCATAATTGAAAATAAACTCCTTGTTTTACCTAAATTATAGCGCTATAAGCGTACAATTGTCTTTGTGTTAAGCTTAAAACAATATCAGTTACAAAATTTGGGTATCTTAAGCAGCAAATAACTGATTAGTTGAAGATATCGTACGTTTATATCCAGATATTACATAATTCTGTGACAAAACTGATAAATACTGCATCAACAATATGCCTCCTCGAAAAATAATAAAAAAAGCGTAAGTGATTCATGGAAAAAAAGAAAGAGAACAGGAGGAATAAGAAGAAAGTGTTCACGAGAGTATGAAAAGATAAAAAATAGTATCTGTGCAGTAATAGACAACTGATACAAATAGACCCGGGTCAAGTGCGACCAATACAGTTGAAGAGGGTTCTGTACACGATGATTGTGCATCACCATCCAGATTAGTGATTCAAACAAATAGACCGGGTCCAACTTTAGGTGCAAATAACGAGAGTTATATGCGTGACAAATTTGCATATCAATCACAGACTACAATTTGATAGTGATTCAAGCTATACTGATTTGGAAGAAAACTCGGAATTTCATAAAAAATTGTATATATTATTATCGATAAATAAAAAATTATGTTGTTCTAATTCCGTATCATCCGTATCAGTTCTGTTCAACATTTGAGATAATTCTTCCTCAGCTTTCCTCGAGTTCTTGCAAAGTAGCTCGCCTTTTTTCGGCCAGTATAATATCCCTTTGTTTTTCCAAGAAACGGACACTGTTGATAATTCAACTTGATTTTGAACATGTTTCTGAAAAAAATATACCAATAATTTTTCTATAACACTTCAAAAATACAACACTACAACAACACTATTATAAATACTAACATTATATAATAAATCTCGATGTTTACGTTTGTATCTTACTTATTGACTACATGAGCAAAACAAGTCCGAGTGTATAAAAAGTACCTACATTAGTATAGGTCCCATCAACCTCAAATATTCATGGATTTATTTTATATAAAAAAGAACCCTAAAAAGCTGAATTAGAGTATACTACATTATATAATTTAAGACCTTTCTCTGAGAAATGTATAATTATTGTACTTTAAACCAAATAATTTCTGGATATGTAGTCGTATGTAAACTATTATGCAGAAATAAGCAAAATAATCACTGAAATAGACACTTTTATTCAAATAGGCCATCCGCCATTAACTAACTTTAGACATAACCTCTTCTTATAAAAATCCTCAACATTTATCTTATGAAACACTTTGTTTAGCGAGCAGGAAACATTAGCAGTTATACAAAATTTGATTCTCATTATTTTCTGGGACTGAAATTTGATAAAAAGTAAAGATAATTTAATTTAAATATTATTTCATTATAATAATCATATTGATAAGTCACAGTAAAGTGCCATGCGTTTATATAATTCACCCTAAATTTACTTAAAATGTATGAAACAATTTGCTTACCAAATTTTTGAAGTCGTAAATTAGCCACCATTATAATATTTTGAAGTAAGTAACACAAAATAATCTCGTCACAATGAAAAATACATTTATACTTTTTTACTTGCATAATTTCTTTGTAAAACTACCCCAGAGATCGGAACTGTGAATATCATTTGAATATCTGAACTCACAAATTATCAACTGCATAAGAGATGTATAATTTCTGGACTAAAGAAAAAACAGAATTTATGCAGAAAATATTCAGTGTGTTGTACATTTATTCAGCTGCTATGTAGCTATTAATCAAATGAAATTTGATAAAAAGTAAAGATAATTTAATTTAAATATTATTTCATTATAATAATCATATTGATAAGTCACAGTAAAGTGCCATGCGTTTATATAATTCACCCTGAACTCACAAATTATCAACTGCATAAGAGATGTATAATTTCTGGACTAAAGAAAAAACAGAATTTATGCAGAAAATATTCAGTGTGTTGTACATTTATTCAGCTGCTATGTAGCTATTAATCAAATGTTATCCAAATTGAAGCAAGATATTTTGTGCCCAAATTGCTTGAATATGATCTGTATAAGCTCTTACACAGAAGTTATACAAATAATTTATCCAGCTTAAAGTCAAAAGAATTGCTTTTACGCAAAATTTATTCAGCTAATCTGTGTTGGCTGGGCTTAGATAAGTAGTTTTATTAATTGACTATGCAAATGTATCTTACTTATTTATATTACTATATAAGTAAAGCTAAGAGCCAGAAGAGGGTGTTAAATTGCTTAATAATCGTACTACAGTCAAGGCCATCTTGGAATGAAATGTTAAAACTATATATACATTTGGCCTCAGATAACGGAAACTATTAACTTTGTAAATATCACAGAAAAATAACAACTCTTAAAAGGTGACTTATTAATATTTATTTTATCGAGCACAAAGCACTTAACAATTTTGATTAATATGTTTATGCACAACATTTCCATAATTATGTAGATACAATACAATTATATATTTTGTAAATTTTAGAAAGTTTAAAATTTGTTTTATTAGTCAATTTTCAACTATGTGGCGTTATGGTTTATTCGAGTCCAAACAGACATAACA